TATATCAGCTTAGCTAATATTCAAGCTTAGTGGAGATGTTTTTATTCATGAGAACATGCTGGGAACCCAGGACCCTGGGATTGGAAAGCAAGCATCTTAACCACCAAGCACGTCTCCACATTACAATAATCAAATGAGTGTGTGGATTACATTTCAAGTTTGGTTAACATCGTTTCCAACATTTTTATGAATGAAGACATGCGCAAGAACTCGAATGGCCATGAAGCGGTAAGGCAGGGGCGCCGCCAACACAGCCTTAACATCTGCGCTGGTTCAAGCCGCTCTTCGTTCAAGTTTCGGTTAGTAGAACCAAATCTTCTCGGATAAAATGGAGGTCCAGCGTACTAATTTGGCTCATGAGAACATCAAAGAACCCATTGTAACTTTCGAAAAAGTAGATGGAGTGCTATGGTTCATTTCAGCTTCTGTCGTTGTGGAATGATGTGAACATGAACCTACTCTAAGCGTATAAGCGCCTCTTTAATGTGGCTAGGGAGTCACGGACTACCAGCAATTAATTTAATTTGAAAGCACCACTCTTGTGTGTGCCGCCGTTCCAAAGGCGTATGTTCTCAAAGTTAATAAATGAATATATAAATATTAGTACTGTATTATAATTGTCACTATCATCATTATCTTCATCATCATCATCATCATCATCATCATCAAACCATTCAAATGACACTTCTTTTTACTTTAAGCTTTTTCCACACTATGACAGTGACAAGTAACTGTTATATGCCTATATTTATGTGTAAAGGCCAACTCAGACAGCGTCGTACGACGCAGCTCGACGCGATTTGTTGTCGCGTCGGGTCTGTGTGAGTTAAACGCAGACGCGATGGTTTGCGTCGGGAGCAGTCGCGTCGTAGAATATTAAACATGTTTAATATTTCTCACGACGGCTTAAGACTGTCCCCGACGATAAATCGGGTCGGGCTGCGTCGGCCGACGCTGTCTGAGTTGGCCTTTATGCGACATCATCATGCCATAAATGGGCACATTAAAGAAATGTGTCACATACAATGTGATAGTGTCAACAGAGCTTAAATGCGTGTTATTTTTTTCAGTACTTGTCTTGATTCTGGATGGAGCTGTACTGAGTTTATATGCTCAGGTATGTAAAATTTGATTTTATTAGTTTGGCTAAGGGCTAAGCGAATATATCGTTGTATTATGTACTAATATTTTCGGGGAGTTTTTTTTTTTTTTTACACTATAAAAATAGCGTGGAGGATTGAAATGTAAAGCTCCACGTAATTTTGACCTGTCTTTGGTGACACTTTAAAAATCTATACGTGTTTAAACCAGGTCTATTTTTTTTAAGGTTTCTAACGTGTTTAGCATTAAATGTGCACATTAATGCTAAACACGTGAAGATCCTAAGCACATTAAGCTATGTCTAAACACGTTTAGCTTTTAAACGTGTCACCAAACACAGGACAAAAAATTCGTGGAGCTTTGCGTTTAAAACCTCCACGCAGTTTCTACAGTGTAGGTGGCATATTAAGTCAATAATTTATGATAACTTATAATAATTTTCATAAATTATAGATAGCTAGCTCCATGATGATAATATGCAGATAATAACGTAATGATGTTTCGCATTGTAACACGCCCGTAATTTATTATTATTATTATTATTATTATTATTATTATTATTATTGTCATCGTCATCATCATCATCATTATCATCATCGTCATTATCATCATCTTCAGTTATATGTAAGAGACAGTTCTTAATTAATTTGTTTTGAAAGGCCAAATTATTTTTAGAGTTGGTCTCTCACGAGCCAAAGATAATCTCCACCGAACAATCGTTATACATTTGGGTGAAACTCTTTCCGCTAAGATAGATATATTTTAAAGGCTTTTTGCTACACTAGACACGATAACAACACGACAACAACGACACTATAGAAATGGGTTCAGTGTTGAAGAATATACGACAGCGAAAATCTTGGTAGTTATCGTGTCTAGTCATGGAGATATTATAGTTCACTATAATACCTTAATGGTCTAGCGTAAATGTAGCTTTGCTAATGTGGTATGACTCGAAAATACTGCTATTGACACGGTGATCTGACTTCGCTGTACAAAGAATTCTTTATGACTAATATTTGCAGGACAATCAAAATGCACTTGTATAAGCACTGTTCGTTTGTTCACCATTTTTCCAACAATCATACTTACTCTCCTTGACACTTATTTTGAACATTATCATTAGGAAAATGTTTAAATCAACGCTATCCTATACCTTACACTTTTACACTGATTATACCAGAGAGAGGTACATTCCTAATACATTATGGTCTTCCACTTTTATAGCGCATGATATATGCATAGCAAACATTATGTAACCACTAATAATACTCAGGTCCAGTGGCGTAGGTATGGGCAGTGCAGTATTGGGGGCTCGTTCAATAGGTCTAATCTGGTATAATGATCTAAAAATATAACTTTAAAAATTAAAAAATCCTACTTGAACTTTAAAAGACCCTTCAATAATATTAGGTTTTAGAGGCTACAATATTGATTAAATTTATTACAATTTACCTATTACCAATTTCCTACACGCTGCAAGTCAAAAAACCCAATAAAACAAGCCCTTACGTATACGATGCACTAATGTACTTTTTGAAATCACATTTCTAAAGCAATAAAATATCGTCACGCACATTTGTGTTTGTGTGGCATTTTAAAGTTGGTTCAACTATATTGTGTACGTTTTTAAACACTTCAGATCATCATAACTTAACGAATACATTTTAGATTTACTTCACCGCAAGTAGGTCGATGACTGTTGTATTATTGAATGGCAATTGGTATTATCGTGATGTAATAGGCAATACCTAGATTTGCGTCAGAAGAATCAATTAGGGGGCCTATGTGTATTTTGCCCAACCTGTTGTGAAAATGTATTGAATACTCAGTGCGTGATGCACTAATATACTTTTACCTAGGGCCAAGCAGTTATCTATGCCATAGTTACCAACCGTCACGCATCGTGCGGGACAGTCCTGCGTTTCAAATTGATTTTGGATGAAACACGCATTTTGCAGAAGCACATGCGAGATAATAAATGTGTCACGCATTTAGCACTTGCTTGATAACGAATTGTCACAAGTTCAGGGGAAAACGTATTTAAAATTAGAAGAAATTGGTTTTATCAAAAATATAAAAACGGTCATACAGTAGCTTGAGTCATTAAGAGCTTTCATTATCTCGTTCGAGAATCAATTCACAGAGAAAATTTCTCCTTTCTGACCAAAACAACCCAGCCAACCACGCTCTTGTAGAATGTAGTAGTCGCAAGCAGTCTTGCGAGTTTATTATTACAACCGTTGATTATGTGACTGGAACCCGAACTTCCGCAGGGGTTACGTTATAAGCAGTATACCGTGTATACTCGCGTATGTCCTATAAGGTGACCCGTGTATAAGACGACCCCCGAGTTTTAGAAGATTTTTGGTTGATATTTGTATGTCTGGTGTATAAGACGTCTCCTTGTTTCATTGTCGGAATTTCTAATTTTGTGTGGTCCTGATACTGCATCTAGCTGGATAAATGGAGCCAAATGCAAGGGTAATCTTACAAATAATACCATTTTATGACTTTTTAAATCTTTACCGTCAAAATCGTATTTTCCCGTATTTAAAAGTGCTTTGATTCATACAACATTTAGTTGCTTCATTACAGTAGTAAGTTCGCGTGTTACGGACAATCCGCACATGAGACGAACATGATTATAAAAATCTAAAATATGAATGTCGTGCGTATAAGACGACCCCCCCCCCTAATATTTTGATTGTAAATTGATATTTTAAGCCACGTCCTATTTTACGCAAGTATATACGGTATTTGTTTTAAAACCCTAGGTCACCTGAGCGTTAGTCATACAGTAGCGGATTCAAGGGGAAAATTTTCCATGGGGAGGACCCCACCCCCTTTCATTTTGGGTATTTTTGGAAATGATTTGAACCCCCCTCTTTCAAATCCTGGACCCGCCCCTGAACTCACATGCGTAACTGTCATTTAGGTGTAATATGACATCATGTCATGATGCCATAAAATACCGTTAGACCATACAGATTCATACGACATAACGGCAAATGTAACTCTCTTTCATACGATTGACAATGTTATGGAGATTATTAGGCTAGAAAAGCTTATTGGTCGCATAAAGAATAGGGGTATCTGCAGGGTGCAATATACCCGTCATCTCATAGTTATGAAACTCATTCGGGTTTCTAATTGGGCCTAGGCATTTAGTTACTTGACTATTGACGACGTACGTGACAGTTGCGTTACAAACTCTAAACATAAGGGATGCCGTACATAACTATGTACCAGATGGCGCCCAGTAATATATACAAGAATATATTGTTATGTAAAATACATTATTGTTATTATTATTATTCAGCATTACCTGGTAGGGGCCTAACTTGTGTTACTCAACTCTGAAATAAATTATTGGTAACGGTCTGTGTGGTTTCTAAAATCTATGCAGTTTATGTAACAGAACGACTTGTGTATCATAATAATTTAAATATATTTTTAACATGTAGTTACGTGTGTAGCAACCTGAAATGAACAATACAGTACATTTCTTCGTGGACATATTACTTCGTCACGGACTGCGTGGGTCCTACAGTCTGTCGATTTTGTTGTGAGCAAACAAAACGACTTGTGAACGAGTCGTGTATGATAATACAGTACTTTGAATATCTTCAATCTGGAAAGAGTGCTGTGGGTGCGGACGCACCCCCCAAATTTCAAAAGGTCCACTTTTTAAAAATCATGGATTAATTCAGAGATTAATTAATGAGGTCCTAAAATGTTATTTTGTCGCAGCAACAGGGGCTTTGCGTCCGGAGCCCCACGTCTCTTGAACGTATAGTAGGCATAACGTAAGGCTGAGGTTGTTTTTTTCGAACATAGAATTTTCTTCTGGCTTAGGCTATCTAGCTATTTCTATTAGAAATCAATTGTCATGAAATGATTTTAAAATAAATCGTGTATTACATTGGTTTTTTTTAAAATAATTTTTGTGCTAATTGCTTTTTTAAAGATCCTTGTTTTTCATCTCCGTGCATGAATGGTGGGTTGTGTTCAAAGATGGGTGATTACTACCAGTGTCTGTGCCCGCGGCACTACACAGGAACAGAATGCCAAACTCAAGGTGAGCAAACTTAGCAATGCACTAATTCCCATAACCCTACAAGATCACTATTTTATATCAACTGTTAACATTGGCAACATTATATAAAATGTATTTAGCTTATTTAGGGCTGTTTTATCATATCACATCTTGGAATAGTAAAACAGTCAATTTACTTCAAAAATCTAAAAGAGTAAAATCTGATTGTTTTTTTTTTTTTTTCATTTTGGAGCAGGCTTTGTAGGCAGTCGTTCATTACTATTTTGCATTTGAAAAGTAATGATTATTTCTACTAGTATTCCTACTACCACCACTACTATTACAGTAGGCCTACTATACTTGATACTGCTGCTACTGCTGCTACTGCTATTGCTGCTGCTACTACTATTACTTCCCTACTACTACTACTACTACTGCTACTGCTACTACTATTACTTCCCTACTACCACTACTGCTGCTGCTGCTGCTGCCCGGCTGCCGCTGCCGCTACCACTACCGCTACGACTACCACTAGTTGTTCGTATTTCGTATATTTATTTCGAGGCTGAAATGCCTAACAATTAAGAACAAATTGAGGCTGAGATAAAATTTCAAATGAGGTTTTTTGTTAAAAAAAAATAGAAAAACCAACAACTCCTATCTGCGCCTTATTTATGTGCTGTAGGTGTGTTATACCATGGAGGAATTAGTTTAGATTTAAACTTAGTTTAGTTTAAACTAATTCCTCCATGGTTATACCCTCTATATAACAGTACAGTAATACAGTATACTGATGTACAATAATAATTTTCTATGTTAGAAAAGTGAAGAAGAAAGTAAGGACATTTTGAGCCTGAAATCGGCAATAAAAGTAATAAGAACACTGAGCTTGGGCAAAATTTTACTGGTTCTTAGAAAGAGGATACGTGCTACCTACTACTATCATATTAATGAGTACTTTAATATTACGATACATTGTTTATATCTACACGTTAGTATCCGACGATGCCTGCTACGATGGATATGAAGTGATATTATATAATGGCAAAACCTTTTTTAATGACATCTGTCAGCAGACGTGTGAGTGTAAAGATGGTGTGATAACATGTGATCCCACCGATTCGTGCCCGGAACCTGCGTGTACCAATCCTGTGTACCTCCCGAATCGATGCTGTCCGGTCTGCTGTATGTTTGTTAAATAGTATTGTCATTGTCATTCCGATATTTTCATGGTTATTTTATAAAGCCTGGTTGTTTATAAAGCCAAACCAGTGTCTCGGGAAATTAATTAGCAGTGAATTCTACCTTCCCCCTGTGATAGACGTAGTCCGTCCTACATAGTAAATTCGATGGTTTCCTAGTTAAATTCTAAGCTTGGGCCACAAATTCTATATAATTCGGTCTAGGGCAGATAATTCACAGTGGATTGATTTGGGTTGAAGGGTGACGAATTTACAAGGCCGAAAGTCTTCTGAGTCCGGTACAACAGTGTTTTTTCATAAAATGTTTATTATTTTCAATTTCTTTATTTATTCACTTACATACTTACACAACTAAGACCAGCGCAGAATTTTTGTTATAACTTTTTCAAACAAATAAATTTAAAGTTGGTAAAGTTTTTAAATATCTATGTCGTTAAAAAACATTAAATTTAAAATAAAGCCATTACGCTATAAACTTCAAATGAGTACCAATACAGTGCTCCATTTTTTACAATGAACATTGAAAAGCTTAAGGAAAATATACTTAATAACATACTGTAAAATGTGAAATGTGCTAATAAGTACAATAAATTGTACTAGGGTAGAGCTTAATGTTGCTTTTCTTGTAAGTGCATTCAAGCGCCTTCTTCCGATGTACTATAAGAAAGCAGGTGTAAATTTACGGTAATACATTTCAGGGCCTGCAGAAAAAGATGGATTTTGTCCAAAAACGTCTTTCTCTGATATTGGAACATGCGAGGAAACATGTCGGCACGATGATAATTGTACCGGTGACCAGAAATGCTGCTTCAACGGCTGTGGGTTATCGTGCACGGATCCACAATCAGGTATTGCAAATGTAGCAAACTTAAGTTTGGACTTTTTAAATATTGTTATATTATGTAAAATTTACAGTGTTTGTGAGCGATGCTGTGTTTATTGAACAGTGTACAGAATCTCCAAATACTAAAAGTGGGATGAACACGCGAAAGGAAAAAGGAAGAAAAAAGAAAATAATTACCGGTATTTAGAAACATCCAAAGGGTGATCTTAAGACATGTTGATAATCCCATTGAGTGAAATTCAGCTGAAGGGAGAGAGAGCAGCTCTCCCCGACGAGAATCCTGTTCTCCCGCTGGCACCACCCCTGCTCGGTGGTGTACTGGTGGTATGATATCAGCTGATAAATTCTGAAGATCTTAGGTTTGCGTCACAGAGATATAGCGCATATTTCAAAGGACAGATTTAATATATCTGCAACAATTCGTGGTGATGGTGAAGAGATGCGTCTTCAGTGACTTTTTTTTTATGAAGCAATGGGGTTTTAAAATAATATATGTGCAATTTATTTTGCAGAACCAACAACTTTATGTGAGCGATCTCCTTGCCAGAACGGAGGAACTTGTATTGACATTTTGTCAACTGTGATTATGTGCCAGTGTTCTCCGGGTTTTCATGGAAATCATTGTGAAATACCAGGTACGTCAGATTCTTCTTATCGTTTGTAAAAATGACCGATTAAGGGCATGCCCTAGAAAACACCCCCTCGGGTCTAGTTTAGGCATGATGATAATGGTGATACAAGTATCACCATCAGATTACCTGATTTCGTGTTACTGGTCAATACAATACAATACAATATACTATATTCGCAACTAAAAACAGTTGAATTGCACATATATAAGAAATTAAAAAATTGCCTTAAAAAGTTAAAAACATCAAAACGGAGACGGTAAACAAAATTACACAAAAGAGCAAAACATAGAATATTATCAAACTTATTATCAAAATAATAACAATAATTATAACAATATTATTATTATTATTATTATTATTATTATTATTATTATTATTATTATTATTATTATTAAATTTATACAATTTATTGTGAAAATTAGGAGATTACAAAAAAAAAAAAAAACCGTTTCGGCCATTGTTGGAGCAGTTCACCAGACTATGCAGAGACAACCTACCATTTTCTGAAAAGACCAGCATTAATAATAGAACTTTTGACCGTTCTGTCCGAACTTTAGGGAGATGGAATTGTTGTGTGGACCTGCGGTTGTATTTATTGGTGGGGCAGTTGGTAAAACTGAGTGAAGTCTGTGTGATTGGTCTTTTATTTTCTGGAAGTATTGTCTGCATAGTCGGGTGCGCCGGTCTGCCAACTTTGGGATATCGACGAGGGCCAGAGCTTTATCATAGCTCTGTCTCTTATACACATCTAGATGTGTATAAGAGACAGATATAAATCAAGAAAGCCGTTAACACTTAAATTATATAAATTAAGATGTGTATAAGAGACAGATCGTGTATTACATTGGTTTTTTTTAAAATAATTTTTGTGCTAATTGCTTTTTTAAAGATCCTTGTTTTTCATCTCCGTGCATGAATGGTGGGTTGTGTTCAAAGATGGGTGATTACTACCAGTGTCTGTGCCCGCGGCACTACACAGGAACAGAATGCCAAACTCAAGGTGAGCAAACTTAGCAATGCACTAATTCCCATAACCCTACAAGATCACTATTTTATATCAACTGTTAACATTGGCAACATTATATAAAATGTATTTAGCTTATTTAGGGCTGTTTTATCATATCACATCTTGAAAGAGTAAAACAGTCAATTTACTTCAAAAATCCAGAAGAGTAAAATCTGATTGTTTTTTTGTTTTTTTCATTTTGGAGTAGGCTTTGTAGGCAGTCGTTCGTTACTATTTTGCATTTAAAAAGTAATGATTATTTCTACTAGTATTCCTACTACCACCACTATTATTACAGTAGGCCTACTACTGTTGCTACTGCTGCTACTGCTATTGCTGTTGCTGCTGCTACTACTACTATTACTTCCCTACTACTACTACTACTGCTACTACTGCTGTTGCTGCTGCCGCTGCCGCTGCCGCTACCACTACCACTACTACCACCACTAGTTCTTCGTATTTTGTATATTTATTTCGAGGCTGAAATGCCTAACAATTAAGAACAAATTGAGGCTGAGATAAAATTTCAAATGAGGTTTTTTGTTAAAAAAAATAAAAAAAACCAACAACTCCTATCTGCACCTTATTTATGTGCTGTAGGTGTGTTATACCATGGAGGAATTAGTTTAGATTTAAACTTAGTTTAGTTTAAACTAATTCCTCCATGGTTATACCCTCTATATAACAGTACAGTAATACAATATACTGATGTACAATAATACTTTTTTATGTTTGAAAAATGAAGAAGAAAATAAGAACATTTTGAGCTTGAAATCGGCAATAAAAGTAATAAAAACACTGAGCTTGGGCAAAATTTTACTGGAAAAAGGATACGTGCTACCTACTACTATCATATTAATGAGTACTTTAATATTACGATACATTATTTATATCTACCCGTTAGTATCCAACGATGCCTGCTATGATGGATATGAAGCGATATTATATAATGGCAAAACCTTTTTTAATGACATCTGTCAGCAGACGTGTGAGTGTAAAGATGGTGTAATAACATGTGATACTACCGATTCGTGCCCAGAACCTGCGTGTACCAATCCCGTGTACCTCCCGAATCGATGCTGTCCGGTTTGCTGTATGTTTGTTAAATAGTATTGTAATTGTCATTCCGATATTTTCCTGGTTATTTTATAAAGCCAGGTTGTTTTATAAAGCCAAACAAGTGTCACAGGAAAATAATTAGCTGTGAACTCTTTCTTCCCCCTGTGATAGACGTAGTCCGTCCTACTTAGTAAATTCGATGGTCTCCTGGTTAAATTCTAAGCTTGGGCCACAATTTCTATATAATTCGATCTAGGGCATAGAATACACAGTGGATTGATTTGGGTTGAAGGGTGACGGATTTACAAGACCGAAAGTCGTGTGAGTTCGGTACAACGGTGTTTTTTCATAAAATGTTCATTATTTCCAAATTCTTTATTCATTCACTTACATTTATCAACTAAGACCAGCGCAAAATTGTTGTTATAACTTTTTGAAACAAATAAATTCAAAGTTGGTAAATTTTTTTAATAGCTTTGTCATTAAAAAACATTAAATTTAAAATAAAGCCGTTGCGCAATAAACTTCAAATGAGTACCAATACAGTGCTCCATTTTTTTTACAATAAACACCGAAAAGCTTAAGGAAAATATACTTATTAAAATACTGTAAAATGTGCTAATAAGTACAATAAATTGTACTAATAAGTAGGGTAGAGCTTAATGTGGCTTTTCTTGTAAGTGCATTCAAGCGCCTTCTTCAGATGCACTATAAGAAAGCAGATGTAAATTTACTGTAATACATTTCAGGGCCTGAAGAAAAAGATGGATTTTGTCCAAAAACTTCTTTCTCTGATATTGGAACATGCGAGGAAACATGTCGGCACGATGATAATTGTACCGGTGACCAGAAATGCTGCTTCAACGGCTGTGGGTTATCGTGCACGGATCCGCAATCAGGTATTGCAAATGTAGCAAACTTAAGTTTGGACTTTTTAAATATTGTTATATTATGTAAAATTTACAGTGTTTGTGTGCGATGCTGTGTTTATTGAACACACGAAAAGAAAAGCGAAGAAAAAAGAAAAACTTACCGGTATGTTTAGAAACATCCAAATGGTGATCTTAAGACATGCTGATAATCTCATTGAGTGAAATTCAGCTGAAGGGGAGTTAGAGCAGCTCTCCCCGACGAGAACCCTGTTTTCCCGCCTTCACCACCCCTGCTCGGTGGTGCACTGGTGGTATGATATCAGCTGATAAATTCTAAAGATCTTAGGTTTGCGTCACATAGATATAGCGCATATTTCAAAGGACAGATTTAGTATATCTGCAACAATTCATGGTGATGGTGAAGAGATGCGTCTTCAGTGACTTTTTTATGAAGCAATGGGGTTTTAAAATTATATGTGCAATTTATTTTGCAGAGCCGACAACTTTATGTGAGCGATCTCCTTGCCAGAACGGAGGAACTTGTATTGACATTTTGTCAATTGTGATTATGTGCCAGTGTTCTCCGGGTTTTCATGGAAATCATTGTGAAATACCAGGTACGTCAGATTATTCTTCTTATCGTGACGTTTGTAAAAATGACCGATAAGGGCATGCCCTAGAAAACACCCCTCGGGTCTAGTCTAGGCATGATGATAATGGTGGTACAAGTATCACCATCAGATTATCTGATTTCTTATGATTGGTCCAGATGGCAATTCAAGTTATATAAAATAGATAGAAAAATAAAATGGTCATGAAATTATTTATTTGTGGTGATTTTTTTTTATTGTGTTTTGTTTTTATATTTTTTATTTGTTTTTTGTTTGTTTTGTATAGATGTTTCCAAAAACCTTTGAGTCATTAAGTAAATCAAATTATATGTTAATTCATCGCTACATGAATGTAATTGTATCAGAACCTAGCTATGTACCATAAGCTTTTTTTGCAAAATTATTCCAGTATTAGATTGATAATATTATATATAAATTGATATGCATATTGTTTCCAATGGTAGATGGACAGCCTTGTTACTATAATGACGAATTTTACAGGGATGGACAAATGGAACAATTCTACCAATATTGTTATAACTGGTATGTATCTAGATGTGTATAAGAGACAGGTAACAAGGCTGTCCATCTACCATTGGAAACAATATGCATATCAATTTATATATAATATTATCAATCTAATACTGGAATAATTTTGCAAAAAAAGCTTATGGTACATAGCTAGGTTCTGATACAATTACATTCATGTAGCGATGAATTAACATATAATTTGATTTACTTAATGACTCAAAGGTTTTTGGAAACATCTATACAAAACAAACAAAAAACAAATAAAAAATATAAAAACAAAACACAATAAAAAAAAATCACCACAAATAAATAATTTCATGACCATTTTATTTTTCTATCTATTTTATATAACTTGAATTGCCATCTGGACCAATCATAAGAAATCAGATAATCTGATGGTGATACTTGTACCACCATTATCATCATGCCTAGACTAGACCCGAGGGGTGTTTTCTAGGGCATGCCCTTATCGGTCATTTTTACAAACGTCACGATAAGAAGAATAATCTGACGTACCTGGTATTTCACAATGATTTCCATGAAAACCCGGAGAACACTGGCACATAATCACAGTAGATAAAATGTCAATACAAGTTCCTCCGTTCTGGCAAGGAGATTGATCACACAAAGTTGTCGGTTCTGCAAAACAAATTCTATATCTAATCTATATACAAACGAAGCATACGAACGGAAACTACCTTTCCACTTAACAAATGTAAACTATGTACAATAAAAATATAAAATCAACATATATTTGAGAGAAAACTACGTAATTTAGGCCTACTGCATGTGCAATGCTATTTGTATTCAGAGCTAATACAATGCCTACTATAGGCGTTGGAGGAGAATAGGGTATACATTGAGATAGTATCGACAAGGAATGCATAAA